CTGAGACAGAAGGTCTGCATTAGGACAGAGGCACTTGCACGTGTGAGATCCACACTGTGCTGTCACGACCATCCCATGTTCATCTCCTGTGCCCTGTTTGGGCACCTCACAGAGCCAAAAGGGACAAAATGTTGAAGCCTGGGTTCTGCAGGCAGCTCCAGAGAGTGCCTTCAAGTGGTGCTGATGGGGAATCTGTACCTCCTCTGGCCACTCCATTAAGCTTGTCCAAATACTCACAGGATTGTGGTTTATTTATTCCATTAGAAATAAACAATAAAGAATAAAGCCTGGATTGCATATTTAATTCTTATTCTATATATTGAAAGTGGAGAGGAAAAGAAGTTATAAATGCTTAGCTTACGCTCAAGAAAACCCATAACTATAAAATCAGCATTTCATAAGCTACCAGGGAAAATATGAGAAAATGCAATATTAATTTAAAACAGCAATATTTCACATTGACTACAAGCCAAACTAACAGCAAAGTTTATCCATAATTTAATGACAAAGCTGCAATATTTTTCACTGTGCTAGATTACTGTAACTGAGCAGATTTATGTACGTTGCTGAGAGCCAACACAAAAACATTTGGAAGATATTCTCTGAAAATTAAGGAAACAATCTGAATCCTTCCCTGTGAACCTTTAGTAATAGCTGCAAACACAGTGTTAACATGCTATTTATTTGGTAGTTTTTCTACTAGTTATCAAGTATCATCTCAGCTCCCAGCAGAAGGATGGGTGACAAATAAACTAAGTCACTGTTTTGCTGTTTAATGCAAAAATGACCAGATATGCTCTGTTCTAGACCAATCCTAATGGCAGATTTGGGCTGTTCTCTACAACAGCAGCCAAGACAGCAGCCCTGAGTTCAACAGCCCCTTCCTTACTGCAGGAATTATCCCAGAGGATCTGCTCTCTCATCCATGCCACCTGTGCCATGATCTTCTCTACAGTTTGTAGGCACTTGGACTCAGTTGCACAGAGGTGCTCAGGAGATGAAATTCCACTCAGTTCCACAAGATTCAGAGACTCTAAACGACCTTCTGAAATCCTTGCCTTGCTTTTCGTCTCTCATGAGTCTCAACAAACTCCGTACCCAAATCTCATTTTGGAAGTTGTTGAAACCTACAAAATTGCCAGCTACAATGGGATTTCCAGCTTCAAAAGGAAAAAAAAAAAACAAAACAAAACAACAAAACACCAAAAAACCAACAAGCCACAACTTCAGCTCCTTTCCTGCTCACATGTCTTCTTCACATGTTAGCTCCCAGGCCTGCAGTGTCACACCAGTCCTCTCTCCCACCTTTCAGGAATCTAATGCCATTGGCTTTCACAAAAAAAGACACCTTCAGAAAACACACCAGAAGCATCCACAATGAAAAAATAAGCCAGTGGAAATGTTTGACATTAAAAAAGCAACACCTCCAGACCAGGGAGAAAGAACTCTCTAGACTTTGGCAGCACCTGGATACATTTTTTTAAGCCTGTAAAATTTTGTTTAGTGGTACTTGAAATTGTGAGCCTTTCTAAAATGCTTCTGTCAACTGTAACTGCTTGGATGGACCTCTGTTAATCAATCCTGAAATAGCATTCTGTTTTGACTTAAGAACATGTGGGTCCATTGGCATTTCAAGCTGTTCTCACTCCCATTATCTGCTCCTCAGCCATCAAAGTTTCTGGTGAAGAAGGGTAGTCCAAAGCTCAGACTGCAGTCCAAAGCCCTGACAACAAGCTAGACAGTAATCAAACCAAATTTATTGTTGTGGACCACTGGTGGCATCTTCCTAAGTGAAAAGGGTGCAGTCAGGTCTGGATAACAGGGAGCTAAACTAGATATATCCCCCACAGCTGCAGAAAAGGAGTGCACCAAGAGGAGTGAGTTCAGCCAGTAATTCCCATAAAACAGCTATCTTCTTGTGCTGGGATTACTCTTCCTCCTGGTGAAACAAGAATGATATTTTTAAATATAGCAAAATGCTATTTTCAAAAATTAATTAAGCTATGAAATACTACTTGAAACTCACTAAGAGGCAGAAGGGAGAAATCTAGCACACTTGGCTGTGATGGATGGGCAAGAGTGTTCTCCAGATTTTATGCTGGATGAAGCTGAATTCAGACTGACAGCACACAGACCACCAGGGATCAGACCCCAGCACTGCTTCTCTTCTCTCAAATTTGCATAAAATGGAAAGGCAGAAAAGGAACCTCTCCCACCCTCCAGACACGTGATGGACTTTACTCATTGATCTCAATGCTGGTGCCAGGGTAACATTTTTTGATCAGCACAGATGGCAAAACCATGGAGAAAAAACCCTTCAGCCACTACAACCAGAAACACATTGCTTATGACAAAGCAAGGTGGCCCTTGATCGACAGGATGAAAGACTAAATCTTTCAAAATCCATTTTGGGCAGGAAAAAAAAACACCCAAAACCTCATCAGCATTATGAAACACCATGAGCACATAGAAAGCAAACAGCAACTGGAGCACTCCTGGGCCAGTCTTGGGTCTCAACCCTCTGAAACCTTTTCCTGTGTCCATGATTAATGTTTACTGAATTCTTCACCAATAGGAGAATTCAGCACAAGCTGACTGCACAGCCACTGGGATTTTAATGCCCAATAAATTATCTGCTGTTTTGGAAAAGCCAGTTATCCTATTTAATTTGACAGCCCCATGCAGGGTGAATTCCATAGACACAAAACAAATGTCAGGCCTCGAGACTAACACACATTTCCCCACATGCAAAATACACATCAGTTGCTCTCTTAGGAGGATGGAAAAAACTAATCTCTCTAAATTATGCAAACCAAGCAGTGAGAACAGGCTTAAAGCCTTTGCTTTTAAGAAGTAAAGCATAAACCACCCTATGGCTTTATATCTGCCCTCTAATTTTTTTTTTTTAAAGGAGTGCACCAAGAGGAGTGAGTTCAGCCAGTAATTCCCATAAAACAGCTATCTTCTTGTGCTGGGATTACTCTTCCTCCTGGTGAAACAAGAATGATATTTTTAAATATAGCAAAATGCTATTTTCAAAAATTAATTAAGCTATGAAATACTACTTGAAACTCACTAAGAGGCAGAAGGGAGAAATCTAGCACACTTGGCTGTGATGGATGGGCAAGAGTGTTCTCCAGATTTTATGCTGGATGAAGCTGAATTCAGACTGACAGCACACAGACCACCAGGGATCAGACCCCAGCACTGCTTCTCTTCTCTCAAATTTGCATAAAATGGAAAGGCAGAAAAGGAACCTCTCCCACCCTCCAGACACGTGATGGACTTTACTCATTGATCTCAATGCTGGTGCCAGGGTAACATTTTTTGATCAGCACAGATGGCAAAACCATGGAGAAAAAACCCTTCAGCCACTACAACCAGAAACACATTGCTTATGACAAAGCAAGGTGGCCCTTGATCGACAGGATGAAAGACTAAATCTTTCAAAATCCATTTTGGGCAGGAAAAAAACCACCCAAAACCTCATCGGCATTATGAAACACCGTGAGTACACAGAAAGCAAACAGCAACTGGAGCACTCCTGGGCCAGTCTTGGGTCTCAACCCTCTGAAACCTTTTCCTGTGTCCATGATTAATGTTTACTGAATTCTTCACCAATAGGAGAATTCAGCACAAGCTGACTGCACAGCCACTGGGATTTTAATGCCCAATAAATTATCTGCTGTTTTGGAAAAGCCAGTTATCCTATTTAATTTGACAGCCCCATGCAGGGTGAATTCCATAGACACAAAACAAATGTCAGGCCTCGAGACTAACACACATTTCCCCACATGCAAAATACACATCAGTTGCTCTCTTAGGAGGATGGAAAAAACTAATCTCTCTAAATTATGCAAACCAAGCAGTGAGAACAGGCTTAAAGCCTTTGCTTTTAAGAAGTAAAGCATAAACCACACTATGGCTTTATATCTGCCCTCTAATTTTTTTTTTTTTTTTTTTTTTTTTGCCTTTCCATGATGTGCAATGCAACTATTTTGAGATCTGCTCCTGAGTGCCTCCAACAGGCACTTCTTAGGGGGAATTCTGTTCTCATTTCTCCTCAGGACTGCCACCCTGCCCCTTAAACATTTATCTTGCTTCTGTAGAAAAACTTGGACCATGGAAGATCGTTTCCAATCCAACTTTTATTTAATTTTGCATGAAGGAAGACAGTGAGGGGAGAGCTTTTTCTTTTACTCATCTGGTATCTCATTCAGATCTGAATTGGAACAGAAACAGAGGAACATCCACTGAACTCTAAGTGCTTTCCAGCTCTGGTTCACATCTGTTACTAATGCATCTTTATATTACTGGATAGTTTAATAAACAAGGAAGTAAGAGCTGTCGGTCCTATCATTTCAGAACTTGATCCCTGACTCTGACACGAACCTCTTGCAGAGGCTGATGCATTTACATGAGTCGTTCTGCCCATTTGCAAATGGAAATAGCAACACTTTCTTTTGCCATAAGCCAAGTGCAGAAGCCGGGAAGAAAAGCTCTGAGTAGAAAGTTGGTGCTACTGGAGAGCAGTCTGATGGGGCAGCAGCCCTGCTGTCACTTTGCTGTCACGCTTTGTGTCGGGACGGGAGAGACTGGCTCTGCACAGGGCGGTACTGCTGAGCAGCACTGAGGGAGCGAGATTGGGAAGGAGAGCGAGCACGAGATGTTAAAATAAACTGCGGGGCAGCCCGCTAGCAACCGCTTACCCAGAATCCATACAAGTGAACAGCAGCTGTCCCGCATAATTAAAGGCTGCGGCACCGCCGAATTACAGGGCTGCATCCCTTCCTCCCGGGCACGGGTTACGCTCCGGGACGGAGCCACCTCGGCCGCGCTCTGCGTCCTTTCCTCCCGCTCCGCATCGCGCTCCTCTCCGCGGCGCTCCCGCTCGGTGCTGGCTGCCGGGCGGCCCGCAGGTGGCGCGGCAGCTCCGCGGCCGGCCGGAGGGGCGGAGGGGCGGGCGGACCCTCCGCATTGTGCGGCCGCCGAGCTGCGCCCGCGGGAGCGCCCGGGGCCGCGCCGGGCCGGGCCGCCGAGCTGCGCGCAAAGAGGTGAGAGCCGGGCGGGCCGAGCGGGGCTGCCCTCTCCGCGGGTGCGGACGCAGGGGGGATGCGGAGCGGGGCTGCTCTCTCCGCGGGTGCCGGCGCAGGGGGGATGCGGAGCGGGGCTACTCTCTCCGCGGGTGCGGGCGCAGGGAGGATGCGGAGCGAGGCTGCTCTCTCCGCGGGTGCGGACACAGGAGCGGGGCTGCTCTCTCCGCGGGTGCGGGGCTGGGCAGCGGCGGTGGCCGCGGAGCCGCCCTGCGCACCTGCCCGGAGCGTTCGGGAGCACCGGAGGCGAGGAGTCAATACCTGCCTGCGCGGAATTGTGGAGCAGAGCTGCGGAGCGGGGCAGCGGCGCTGCTGCGGGCGGCCGGGAGCTTTGGCGGGGGGCAAGAGCCGGTGTGCCAGTCCCTGGGTATCCCATTTTCTGATTTCGAGCGTCCTGAAACAGTTCGTGCCTCTTAACTGTCCTTGCAGACTGAGAGTGGTCTGATACTCTCAAGCAAAAGGAATCAGGAGTATTTAGACATCAGAGTTTAATCGGCACCGTTCCTGATGTAAAGTGTCTTTAGTTTTTGTTTTTACAAGCGTTTTTGTATAGGGAAAAGTCTTTGGCTTATTTTTTTTTTTTTTTTTCCGTCCCAAATAACATGTTAGAAATGCATTTTGCTGTAGAGCGAGGAGTGCTGACATGGGAAGCATCCTACGCCACTGTTAGAATTCATGGCTAAAGTGGGTACTCCAGCTCAGCAGCAAACCCGTCACTGGTTGCATTCACACGTGAGGTTCTACCCTGCTTTAAGGGAAGTATTTGACGCGTTAGTCAGGGCTGAGGATCACCACAACCACGATTGCTGTGTTTTCACTGAAGATCTTTACGCATTCTACAATGACAGGTATGGTTATAGATTTCACTGTCCAGGTTAGCAAAATCAAGGTCATGCAGCAAAACTGTGAGCATAGATAATTGCCATGCTCAAAGTGCAGTAGCAGAAACTCTGGCATCCTTCTGCTGACCCCGTGCTTTGCTGAATGTTTATGTATGAGCCGAGGCAGCTTAAAAAGGAGCGCTAGAGAACTTTCTGGGTATGGATTTGTTTAGGGCAGTGAGCAAGGTACAAGTGCTTAGAGGGTTTTAGGCAACTGCTGCTGAGTAATTGAAACCTTTTTGGAGCTGGAGGGCTCAAGGAAAGAGTAGCTATCTGCAGGCAGTGCTAGTGAGAGCTCATAGCTATTAAATATATTATACAAAAAATAATTCCCTGCATATGATTCGAATACAGTAAATATATGCAATTTCAGCTGAAAGAGAAAGGAAGAAATAAATAATTAGGAGCCTTGAAAGGCAGGTGCTTGGGGTTTGCAGTCTTAACAGTGCCAGTGTGAAACGAAGCAATAGCCAGAAAGCTGAAAGTAGATTCTGCACAAAGAATGCCAAATGTGTCAGTGGTATTACTGCAATGCTTAAAGCAGGAACATAGCATCAATTAGTATGATTATTTAAAAAGGAGAAAAAAAAAAAAAAGGAGGGGGTGGGCAGGTGAAGGGGAGAGCCTGGCTCCTTGCAGTTCCATCCTTGTGGTGTTCTTCCCCAGGCTCTGCATTGACGTCACAATGACACGGTGAAGCTGAAGGCAGGAGCTGGGAACAGTTCTTCTGCTGCACTTTTGATAATTGAGGGAGTTTGCCACCACTGCGTTCCTGCCAGCATGGCCAAGAGTGCAGAAGTGAAGTTGGCGATCTTCGGTCGAGCCGGCGTGGGCAAGTCAGGTACGTTTGACTTGTGATTTTTTTTCTTCTGCTTGTCTTCAGGTAACTTTTTGTTCCCTCTGTGCAGATAAACTCTTCATAAAAAAGGACATCTCTGACCTTCTTGTCAGGGAGGTTGGGATCAGGCCAGGAATTCTCTCTTCTTTGGCTTTTCATGCTATTTTCTCTAGGTTCTACCAAATAAAAGTACTTTTATCACTTTTTAAGAAAAAGCCCAACAATAAACAGCACCAAAACAAACTTCCCAAGCCAAATCAAACCCACTTCTCATGGAGTGAGTGGAAATATTATTCTTCGTGGTGGAACAGAATTAGTAATATTGAATTTGTCTCTTCTTAGCTTGTGCTTGATGAAGGCAGGGAATATTATGCTGCCTATCCTCTGTTAAATATTAGATGACTTCTTTAACAGTTGTAATTCTGGCGGATTTCCACAGGAGATTTTAGACTCAGCAACTCAAAGAAATTTTGTTCTCAATGCTCTCCTGGATTTACATGTTTACCAGCAATCTAAGGCAGCACCATGTGTAAAGTTTGTATTTGTAGAGATCTTTTGAGAAATAAACATAGTCTGTCGATTTCATATGGTAGAGACACAAGGGGGAGGCATAAATGTTAAAAATCCATTTCTGCAGACAGTCTTTCCTCTGATGAGAAGAGGAGCAGAGTGTGAGGCTTGCAGTCTCTCTCGGGTAGTTCAGGGGTGTTGCATTAACCTGACAGCTCCACGACCACTCTAACAAGTCCTTGCACCACAGGGATGAGGAAATGAGGAGACTGAGCCTAATCATGCTCCTGTGGCACTTTGGAAACTGTAAGATACTGTTTCTTTTAGAAAAAAAAAAAAATCTGCTCAAGAGGAGGCAGGAGATAGGATGTCCTGGTAAGAGCATTAAGCCAGACTCAGCTGCCATCAACCAGCTCCAGTTCCCCAAAGTGACTTTTATGTTACACATGCCAAGGTTCTGTCCTATAAATGCATTACAGTTTCAGTGACTTGGGAGTGGGTTGTTTATAAAAGCACATTTACCCCGAAGGTATTTTAGCAGAACACTATCAGTGAAGTACTTCTGTCAGCTATCAGGACAAAAGGCATATGTGAGGCAGAAGTTCTTAGAGATTATACTGCTTATTCAAAGGCAATGCAGATTAAATTCCACCTTTTTGAATAGAATGCCCGAGGGAATGCTGATAATACACTGGGATAAGTTTAAACTCTTCCTTCTTCCCTGCTGCCCTTACCCCATCCCCTCTTCTGTGTTCATATTTCACTGTCCTACCTAAGTTTTGCAACTTCAGTGGTTCCCCTTTTGGTTTATCTTACATTCAGTTGATGGTTTCTGTGGTTTTCCAGTCTTTTGGCTGGATTCAAAATAATGCAAGAGAACATTGAAATATTTGCAGGAAAACAAACACTAAAAGAGTCCTCCCTCCCTGGCATTCTTAATAGTTTGAGAGCTTATATTTAAAAAATACAAAACTACCTCTGAAGTGCTCCGTTAAAATGCTACACCAGCACAGGATCAACAAAAGCCTTTTTTACCTATTGTATCCTTTTTGTAGATTTCAATATATACTAGGATAGTATAATTAGTAAAAATGTTTTCCTGTAGCCCTGGAGATGGGTGAGAGACAGAAGAAACAGAAAGCCAGTAGAGACATCCTAGTCCTTTGAAGTCTTCCTCTTCTCTCCTTTTTCCCCTTTGAGATGCAAGGAAATATTACATAAAATGTGAACGAGGTCCCTTCTTTTGCCTATGACCATAATTGCCAGTCTCTGTGGAAATGAAGGCACAAATAAGTGGGCAGCACAACAGGGTGAACTGAATGGGGTAGAAGGGCGATAGAGCACTATCAGCTACCTGAACAGAGCAGCAGCTGTGCCTTCCAGAACCTCCAGCTTGCTTATGAAAACCCCTCTTGCACATTCCCATAAAAGGATCCAGTTTCAACAGCTTGGCCAACTGCAGAGAAATAAGTGTGTGTGTGTGTGTGTGTGTGTGTGTGTGAGGGGGGTGGTGTCTGAAAATACCTATTTGTCTGTAGCCAACAGCAACAACAGTGGGAGCCGTGGAAGTGCTGTTTGTTACACCTTTGCTAGAAACAGAGCTGGACACAAAGCAGCCTCCAGATAGCTGGGTCTGGTGGGCAGTACCCTGCTAGAATAGTATTGATAGTGTGTTTTGTGGTGTTACCACGTCATGCCCTACCCCTGTGGCCAGTTTGTCGTGTGTTGTGGGGACAGGATCCTGTGGTCAGAGCTTGCTGGAGCAGACTTGGCCAGACAGCTGGAAGATAAGCCAGACTCCAGAAGCAAGAGCACAAGGCAGAATGCTGGAGCACACATGCAATGAAAAGGAGACTTTGGGTGATAAATAAGGCCACTGTAATTGCCAGAAAGTCATGCCAAAATATGGTCACTGGCTTGCTTTCCTGGCTCATCTTCATTGCTGAGGAAGAGCCAGGCATTAGGTTCTTAATCTGTAAGTGGCTGAAGCACCTGACAGTGTCTGTGGAGTTCCAGACACGCTCTGCAACGTCCTGGAGAGGCTCCTCTGCCACTGCCTGACCCAGACCTTGGGCCAGTGAGTCAAAACAGCTGTGCAGAAAGAAGTGTTGTGCTTCAGGACCTGTGGAGAGCCAAAGCTGTCCCTCAGGCACTACAGAAGCTGTTGGACCTGTTAGCATTACTGAGAGTTGGGGAAGGTCCCAGTCTCACCATTAATGGCAGGTTTTAAGGGTGAAAGATTCCCTGTTGTAGAAAGCAGTCCCTCCCAAGACTCTCCCAAACGTGAGGTGGGAAACCAGAACACTGCTCACAAATCTGACTAGTGATAGCATCTCTGTCAAAAGAGATGTCTCAAAATATACTCACTGAATAGTGATAGCATCTCTATCAAAAGAGGTATCTCAAAATATACTCACTGAGTAGTGATAGCATCTCTATCGAAAGAGATTTCTCAAATTTTGAGATATCTCAAAAGAGATTTAACAAGAGAGTTCAATCCAGGGAAAACAAAATGTTTCTTTCTTTGCACTTTCTTGCTGCTTATCAAATTTCCACGGTTCAAAGGTTTAAAAAACAAACAGGGGGCAAAGCTAATGTGAGTGCCAGCTTTTCACTGTTCTCCTTCCTTGCTTTGTCTCCTCCTGCCTGCTGGAGAAGACCAGCAAAATGGCTTATTAACTCACCTGTCCTGTTTTGCCTTTTTAATTTATGAGACCTAAACCTTTCAGATAGAAAAAGAAGAGCAAACCAGCTCAGAAGGAGGCACACAGGAGTTCCCCCAGACCAGAGTTACACTGAGTAATGGCCAAACTCACCAGGTACCAGCATCCCAGCCTGCTCTTGTACAGTTCACTAGGTGCTCCTCCATTCACCCTGTTCTTACTGTATAAAAGCTGCATAAACATTGTTTTAAAGCAGCTGAAAAGAGCCAGATGAGGAGCTCTGCCTGAGCCAAGGAGCACTTTGCAGCTGCTTCACTCGGGAAGAGGAGGAAATGCTCTGTGGGTGGGAAGGGACATTGCTAAGACCTGCTAGAGATAACAGGGCTGTACCTCCTAATTTGGGCTGGAGTCAAGCAGCACTGAGGAGGGGAGAGAGTTTTAGAGTCTTTTTTCTTTACGGCCAAGAGGAGCTTGGATGGAGCAGAGAATTAAAGTTGAAGTGAATTACTTAAACACTGCTGTTTAAATTGTTCTTTCACTGAATCCTACAGCTCCATTCCTATGGTAACAAAGCTGAGGATTTCCTAAATAGCTCCTTTTAAAACTACAGTGGTAGCAATTAATAAAGACTTAAAGGCCTTGTTCTTCCATGTCACCACAAGACACAGTATGTGCCCAGAAATCTGAAGAGGAGTGAAAATGTATGAACTAGGAGGAGAAAAACAGGGCAGGTACTGGATAACACTGCATGGCTGATGCTCTTCCAACTCATAACTCAGTTGACTATGAATGCTCAAAATACCTCTGCTTAGGAGCCTTTATATTTTGGCCAAAAAAGAGACAATGTCCAGCTGCAGCATGTGCTGTCCAACATGCCTTTTTGCTGTGGGTGTGCCAGGCTAAGCACTACTGAAGATTTCCCCCAATAAATAATAAATGTATCAGCCCCTCAGCAAACCAGTGCCTGTGCAATCAGGTGTGGGGCAGAGGGCTGTTGTCACATTTTGATCCAGCAACAGCTTGGATGCTTCCATTTGGGCAAAAGGGTGACCAGAAAAGTGGTTTCAGTGAGTGTCACCTCACAAAGAGCCTGTGCCCTCATAGAAATTAAGATCTCAGCAACTCCAATCATTTTAGAGTCACAGTTGGGAAACTCCTGAGCAGAAATATATTTCTGTTGGCTTATGGTATTTTCCCATGTCTAAGCCAGGATGGGGGAACATAGCTGGGAGAAAGATACCTGATTTTGAAAGTTCCTACAGAAAAATTCAAGTAGCAGCCAAACCAGAGAGCCCTTCAACAAATCTGTGTTTTGTTTTCATTATTTGGGAATATGTCTGAAACACACTAGCAGGGATCACTTCCCAATTGCAAGGTCTGGGCATGTGGGAAATAGAACTGCATTCATTGTCACCCCACCCCCCATTCAAAAAACCCTGTGGGTTACTGGGAAAGAAGCCCAAAGTGATTTTTCTACTTCACAAATCCCTGCTCATATATTTTCCCCCACCAGTTGCATTTCAGGGACTTTTGCAGAGGAAACATGAGTTATTAAGGAGTGATTAGTTATCAAGCTCACAGCTCTGCTAGTAAGGCAGGGAAAGCTGCCACAGGATCTTCAAAGTCCAAGCTGTACCAACTGATGCATGGATTACTGTAATAAGGTGCCTCTGAAATCCAGAAATGTGGGTGGAAAGAGACTGGATTTTCTGTTGTGGGTTTTGTTTTGGTTTTTTTTACTTACACTAGTGTAGTAGGTCAATTACCTTTTTTTTTCTCTTTGTTCTTAGGAATGGCAATGACAACCAGATGCTTAAGTGATTATTCAGT